AGCAAGTAATTTAGAAAGTAGTTTAGAATTTAACATTAGTAGCAATAGAAATAATTTTTGGGTATATACAGATGGGTTATTAATTCGAGAGATGGATAGTTGTAATATGGGTATTGGATGGGTACAGGTAGATGAAAAACAAGAAAGATTACTATGGGAAGGTTTTGCAAAACTAGAGAATTGGCCATCATTAACGAAGCCCGAACTTATTGCAATCTGGTTAGCTCTTTTTACTATTCCAACAAGCGGTAATATCTGGATCTTTTCAGACAGCACAGCAGCGATCGCCAGTATAGAAAAAATTAAGAGTAATAGAGATTCAACAGAATTTTTAAAGAAAAAAACTGGGATATTTTAATCAAAATTGTGGATCTTATTAAAGCAAAGGTGATTAATTTAGAACTCAAAAAGGTTAAAGGCCATAGCAACAACAAGTAGAATGATAGAGCAGATACTTTAGCAAAAAAAGCCACATCATTATCACACACAACGAACATCTACTTGGACCTGAAAACAAGAATATTATTTTCACTATTTTGGAATAATCATAAAATCGAAAGGTCAATTAGACCCACTCTTAAAAACTTTTCGAAACCTGGAATGGTACAAGCTAGCATCTAACAGAGTCGATTAAAGCCATAGAACCTGAAGCAAATAATCCCAAGTTAAATTGGTACACATACTGGAAAAGAATGAAGAAATTAAAAGATATAAGGTGCAATACACTGCAAAAGAGTAAAAAACTTGCAACACAGTTAAAATGCCTTTCGGGAAACTTACCAGTGTTTAAAACCCTAATGACAAGAAGACCAGACATCTATACAAGTGGTAATTGTATAGCATGCAATAACAGTACTGCAAAAACCCAAGACCATTTAGCAGAATGCATTTACTACAAGGCAATATGGCAATGTATTGAGAACACAGCAATCGACCTAGTATGGTCCAAACTCATGAAAGATGAAAAATATCTCTGTTCTAAAAGACTGCTTCATGGGGTCTTAATCGGAGTTACAGAAGCTAATAAAAGTGAAAAGAGAAAGTTGTGAATTAAAGGCTTATCTACTATTGACTCTTTTGACAGACTTAAGAATCTCTTAAATTCGACAAAAACGACTGCAAACTCAATAGAACTCGCTACACATATGATCTGGAATGGTTTTTACGACTTTATATGGAAAGACAGATACTTCAAGGTCAATGAATGGGAAAAAGAGCAAAACATAAAAAGAAGGGACAAAAGAAGACTGATTGATAACAAAAGTAGAATGCTGCCCAACTCTAGAAAAAAAACAAACAAAAACGGAGTTAAAAAAAAGGAGGTTGTGTTAAAGGAAAAGAAGATGAGAAAAACGTGATATAATGCTATCATGGGTTGAATACAAAAGGGTACAAACCCCTTTTGGACAAGCTTTTGAGGAGAGCTTCTTTTCTGGCTTATCCATAAGCTAGTGTGATAGGTTGCACCTAGGTACCTTCACAGGCAACCGGGTGAAATCAGGCTTTTAGTTAGTCTTAGAAATAAATTAAATGTACTTAAAAACTAAGAGGGCAAGTCACGGCAAGACCTGTCAAAGAAATAAAAAAAAAAAATAAAAAAAAATTATATAAATGTTGTTAATAGAAAACCTGTTATTAGGCTTTCAATATTCAGTTGGCTTTCTGCATGCTATTTATGGGCAATCTATTTCGATAATAAATTGTCTATAGACAGCATACAGAAAACCAACTAAATATTTTCTATTGACAACACTCATATAACATATAAAATTTGATTTTTATATAGTTACAACTTGTAATAATCATCGGATTTAAGCTGGTGATTATATTAAGGGTTTAACTGTAGTTAAAAATTTTTAGAATTAGCCAATTTTAATATTAGCTCTTACAATTAATATTAACCTTTTTTATAACATAATATATTTCTTAATTGTAATATTGTTAAAATATAATAATTTAATAAAGTATTAAACAAAATTCTACTTTAATATAGTAAATAATAAAATTTATTTAACAAATATATACAGTATCTTGTATAAAACATTAAATAAATATATACAATATATTTGTAAAAAATTTATTAATTACGTATATACGGTAGATTTTAATTGTTAGAAATTATTATGATAAATATTTGATACAAAAACAAACCAGTATATCAAAAATTATTTATTGTTAAAAAAAATATATATATACTATATGCAGTATATGTAGATATATAGTATTTTAGTACAATTTCAACGTAAGCCATACTTTACACGAATGTATAACTGTATAATGATATATATATACCATAGTTGTTTTACAGGCTAAAAAATTACTCAAGAGCCCTGCACGGACCGGAACAAAAAAGTTTTAAACCATGGTAATTTACGGGCCAAAGACGGACCGAACCTTTTTTAAAAAATTTTTATTTGCCGCAAAAAAAAAAAAAAAAAAAAAATCAAAAAAATTATTTAGATTACAGGACCCTAAAGCTTAATAATTGTTTAATTTTGGAGAAAAATATAATAATGACAATAATTATATGATAATGATTATTACACGCTTATCTATTAAAGTATAATAGTTTCCCGGTATTTCCGAACAAACAATTAAACCAATAACTGGCCAACCAGTAATAGATGATCGCTAACCGTGGCCTTTATATATATTTATATTTGCGGTCAGATGACATGTACAAATCGTGGGTTCCAGATTACCGTAACCGTCAGGAGTTGCGCAAATTTAAAAAAATGAATCAACAGCTTTTTTGAATGTTTCTTATTCTTTTAATTGATAATCATGGAAATTGACAGTCAAGAGGAAGCAACAACAACAACAAGTAACCTAAGCAAACGGGATAAGAAAACTAAGAAAAAATTTAGAGCTGTAAAATCGACAACGGTGAGGGGCTTAGAAGTCGATATAAAAGAAAGCAAAAATACAAAGGATAAATCCACAAAGAAAATTTTTAACTTAACCAATTCGTCTAGTGATAATGTTAGTAATAGCTCTAGTAAACAAAGAAAAAAAACAGAAGAAAAGAAAAGAAAGTGGACTGAAGAAGATGATATAGAGGAATTATTGTCACCTATAGTTGTAATAGAGAGTTTTAAAAAGAAAAAAGGTAGAGATACTTTTGACAAATCAGTTTTTAATGGAGATACTAAGAATAAAACCAATGGATTACGTTATGAGATAGATGAATACAATGGAAGTGGAAGAACGATTAAAATTGGGAAAGATGAAAAAAGAAAAAAGGAACAGAAAAAAAAAAAAAAAAAGAAAGTTGAAGATGAAGATTATGTCGATAGCATTAGAAAGAGCAAGGGGAAGAGTAAAAGTCAGAATAAAAAATCGGGGAAAACTTTATCAAATAAAACAAAAAAAAGGAAACGATATATAAGCACTGACGAAGACAGTGATGATAGCAGCAGCCTAACTGACATAAGCAGCACGGACAGTGATGATGAGATTTCAATCTCTAAAATGGTAGCTAGTGTTGTTATAAATAACACAAACAACAAGTATCAAGAGCATCCAACACTCGCATCACTTCCTCAATCAACTATCGATGAATTCTTCAGTACAAACGTAATTCAAGTTGTTGGTGATTCAACGCTCAAACCAATTATGTCGTTTGAACAATTGATGGTAGACAAGGAAATTAAACGTGTCTTGGCAAGATTTGATAAACCAACGCCTATTCAGGCTACTTGTTGGCCACTTTGCTTGAGCGGAAAAGATGTGATTGGAATTGCAGAGACGGGGTATGCACTATAATTTTTTTTATGTTGTGAAGTTAAACTTTAAACCTACAAATTCTTAAATACTTTTAGGTCAGGCAAGACTCTAGCTTTTATTGTACCAGCTGTTATACATATTAAAAGTCCACCGTATAGTCCACCCAATCATCAGCCTTTTGCCCTCGTCATCGCGCCGACACGCGAACTAGCTATTCAAACACAACGACAATGTGAAATGTTTGATTCAACATGTGGAATTAAAAGCGTTTGCATTTATGGTGGTGTATCTAAAACAGAACAACGTAAACTATTGCGAAAAGGTGCACATATAGTGGTTGCTACACCTGGTCGCTTACTTGATTTGGCCAGTGATGGCGTATGTGATATAAGCAATGTTAAATATCTTGTACTTGATGAAGGTGAACTTTATTATGAAAAATTTTATTTTAATAATAATATAAAATTTTTATATAGTCTAAATACTTAATTATATATTAATGATTTTATTATTTATTTATTTTTATCAATTTTTTTAGCTGATCGTATGCTCGACACAGGATTTGAAGAAGATATTCGTAATATCATTTTAAAAACACGAGAAGATCGTCAGACTGTAATGTTTTCTGCAACTTGGCCAGAATCTGTTCGTAAATTGGCTACCGATTTCCTAACCAATCCAATTCGAGTTAATATTGGCTCACAAACCCTATCCGCAAATAGAAATGTTACCCAAATAGTAGAAGTAATTGATGATCCATCAGAAAAAGATCGTCGACTCGTAACGCTTTTAGAAAAGTATCATAATCGAAAGAATAGAGTTTTAATATTTGTTCTTTATAAGAAGGAAGCATCACGTGTTGAAAATATGTTAGCGCGTAAAGGATATGAAGCACAATCTATTCATGGTGATAAGAGTCAATTTCAACGTATAGAAGCATTAAATGCATTTAGGGATGGAATTTATCCGCTTTTGATCGCAACTGATGTTGCATCAAGAGGATTAGATATTCCTGATGTAAAATATGTAATTAATTACACGTTTCCATTAACTATAGAAGATTATGTTCATCGCATTGGACGAACTGGACGTGCAGGCAATAAGGTAGTTATTTTTAATAAAAAGAAATTAAAAATTTTTCATGTATATTTTATAAATTCCATGAATTTCATGTATTTTATAAATTTTATATATTTTTTTAGGGAATTTCTCATACTCTTTTCACATCTTGCGATAAAGGACATTCAGGCGAACTCATTAGAATATTACGTCAAACAAATCAACAAATACCTGACTCACTACTTCGATTTGGTACTGGTATTAAAAAGAAAGAGCATAAAGCTTATGGAGCTTTCTATAAAGAAATTGATTATAATGTAAAACCTACGAAAATCAAATTTGAAGATTGACCTTGCTAACAGAAAGGTAAATATGGGTGGATAATAATAATGTAACTTTATATATTACATATATGTTATTACATTACAAAATTTTGGCAGATTTCTTGTTGGCAATTTTTGTGATTGTAAATTGGTGTGCCAGTGCGATTTATTCAAGGTTAGCATTGATGTTTCACTAATTATAAAACGGATCTCATGGAACATTTTAAATAATATAGTAATTACATTAAATGAAAGATTATCACGTAATATATACATAGTTATAGGTTTTTCACATGGGTTGATCCCGATAATACCGATTAAAAAAGTAATAATACATGATGGATTAAGCCATTTTAACTGGCATTATTTTTTTTAATATTCCCGACTTTGCCTCACATAAAATCAAGTAACGAAGGTGCTGTAAAAAAAAAATAATAATCTAATGATGGCAGTTGTATACTAATATTTGTAAAAGTCATGATGTATATATATATATAAATAAAATTATATTAATCATCAGCAATTATCAGATATAACTGCATATTTTATACATTTAGAATTTAAAATATTGTATGTTTTTAGTTTACTATGTATATTATCTATTATATAATGCAAGGCGGTGTTACACAAGGAGACAAACACTATGCAACAAACGTTATGAGACAAACACTATGAGATAAACACTGAGATAAACACTGAGACAAAAATACAATCTGATTGGCTACTGCTATAACACATGATTCCTATTATTGTTGCTCAAATACGTATCAAATATATATATTGAATAAAGTAACTTGCGTGAGGATGTTAAAATTGAATAGTTCCCGTGGATACTGTACTGTGTGAAGAACCGTATATTAAAAGTAATAAGTATACCACGGGTCTTATTCAATGGTACATTAAAATTTCTTTGTTTTTAAATTAACTAAATATTTTATATTTGAATCCGGAGCAACGCGACGGGTTAGATGCTAGTAAATTATAACTTAAAACTTAGTTTTAAGGTTAGGTTAGAGTTTAGGGTTTAAAATTGTTAATATATATATACTGTATATAATAAAGAGTGTGTGACTTATTAGAAAATCTTATAAAGGATATTATACGTATAACGATTCAAACTAACACGTATATAGTTAATAATATTATACGCTATTGCCTTTAACGTTAACAAGTAACTGTCAGACAGTATAAAATTCTTTATTTGTATCGATAAAGTTTTAATAGTTGCACAAGGTAAACAAACTTATTAATAGCTTCGGGCGTAGTACGTATACGTAATATCTGTTATCGAAAAAAATTATGCGCTACCAGCGTGGATTACTAAAATGTTAATGGTGCGATGGTGTGATCTGGAGCGGTCCGGGAACAAAAATCGGCTAAACAACTCCGATACAATAAACTATAAAAACGTCGCCAAATTCCTTGACTCTTTTTTCTTTAACATTTTCAATATTCACAAATTTTTGTTGATATCAAACAACTACAGAACTATCTGAACAAAAAATCTATTAAAACAAAACAATATGCAAATTTTCGTTAAAACTCTTACTGGAAAGACTATTACCCTTGAGGTAGAGTCCTCTGATACTATCGATCAAGTCAAGCAAAAGATTCAAGACAAGGAAGGCATTCCACCGGATCAGCAACGTCTTATTTTCGCAGGAAAACAACTTGAAGACGGACGTACTTTATCCGACTATAATATTCAAAAGGAATCTACTCTTCACCTCGTATTACGTCTTCGTGGTGGAATGCAAATCTTTGTAAAGACCTTAACTGGTAAAACTATCACTCTTGAAGTAGAGTCTTCGGACACTATCGACCAAGTTAAGCAAAAGATTCAAGATAAGGAAGGTATTCCCCCAGATCAGCAACGTCTCATTTTCGCAGGAAAACAACTTGAAGACGGTCGTACTTTATCAGACTATAATATTCAAAAAGAATCAACTCTTCACCTTGTGTTACGTCTTCGTGGTGGAATGCAAATCTTTGTTAAAACTCTCACTGGTAAAACAATTACCCTTGAAGTAGAATCATCCGATATCATTGACCAAGTTAAGCAAAAGATCCAAGATAAGGAAGGTATCCCCCCGGATCAGCAACGTCTCATTTTCGCAGGAAAACAACTTGAAGATGGTCGTACATTATCAGATTATAATATTCAAAAGGAATCAACCCTTCACCTCGTATTACGTCTTCGCGGAGGAATGCAGATCTTTGTTAAGACACTTACAGGAAAAACCATAACACTTGAAGTTGAATCATCTGATACAATTGATCAAGTCAAACAAAAAATTCAAGATAAGGAAGGTATTCCTCCAGACCAGCAACGATTGATCTTCGCAGGCAAACAATTAGAAGACGGTCGTACCCTTTCTGATTACAATATTCAAAAAGAATCAACACTTCATTTGGTTCTTCGTCTTCGCGGTGGTATGCAAATATTTGTTAAGACGCTTACGGGCAAGACTATCACCCTTGAAGTTGAATCATCGGATACTATTGATCAAGTCAAACAAAAAATTCAAGATAAGGAAGGTATTCCTCCGGATCAGCAAAGATTGATTTTCGCAGGCAAACAATTAGAAGATGGTCGTACCCTTTCTGATTATAATATTCAAAAAGAATCAACCCTTCATCTTGTATTACGTCTTCGTGGTGGAATGCAAATATTTGTAAAAACTTTAACTGGTAAAACTATTACCCTTGAAGTTGAATCATCAGATACCATTGATCAAGTTAAACAGAAAATTCAAGACAAAGAAGGTATTCCTCCAGATCAGCAACGTCTTATCTTTGCAGGCAAACAACTCGAAGATGGTCGTACCTTATCCGATTATAACATTCAAAAAGAATCAACACTTCATCTTGTATTACGTCTTCGTGGTGGAATGCAAATATTTGTAAAGACTTTGACTGGTAAAACCATTACTCTTGAAGTTGAATCATCAGATACCATTGATCAAGTTAAGCAAAAAATTCAAGATAAAGAAGGTATTCCACCAGATCAGCAACGTTTAATCTTTGCTGGTAAGCAATTAGAAGATGGACGTACACTTTCCGACTATAATATCCAAAAAGAGTCTACACTTCATTTGGTGCTTCGTCTTCGTGGTGGTCAGTAAAGATGTAACAAGTTGGTGGTGGGAATATTATTAAAGATAGTTATTAAAGACAGTCATTAGCAATTAAAGCAGAATTGTTATTAATTAATAATTGTTCTATGTATAGTTCTGTATATGAAATTAATATATCAATAAAATTGTGATGTGCATTTAAATAGAATTATCAGAATCAGAATATTTTAAAACTTTGGAAATTTATTTATCAAAATTCAGCTCGTGGAATTTATTGTTTTCAATTACACATAATGTGGTAAAATCAAGTAATAAATATAATTTTAGTATGTTTAAAACTTTATTTGTTTTTCAGATTATTGTGGTAAAATCAGTACTATAAAAAATATTCTAAAAAAGGTTTTAAAAATATAATTCCTAAGATTATAATATTCTATTTATTTTTTTTCACCAATACACTCTAAAATAAGAACCACGCACAAAAATAAATAAAAGTTCAATATACAAATTACAGTTATCTCTCTCTACAATGAATCTCAAAATATTTGAATATATAAATAAAGAATTAAATGCCCACTTTAGGTGATAATAACACCTATGATGAAAATCACCATAGGTGCGGTGCGTTTTAGTAAAAGTGTTAATTATTCTAGCTTATCCAAATGGTCTAATCGTGTTAATACAATGTTTTTACTAGTCTCTTCAATTTCTCCTGCTAAAAATACTTCATCTAGAATTGCATAAACCTATAAAAAAAAAAATGTATAAAAAAATTCGTATTAGCTATTATATTAACAAATAAATAATGCTGTTTTATTTGGCAGAAGAAATGAGAATACCGTGATCGATCTGAAGGATCACGGGATGGTCATTTTGGATGACAAATAAAAGAAGTATCTGGCTTTGAATTTAATGTGCTAACCTGGGTCCCGCACATTAAATTCAAAGCCAGATACGCTGTTATTGGGATGCGGTGCATCCAATAACGGATTTATTTTTCTTTTCTTTTATAACAAATGAATCTCATGAGTCTATTTGGCGTATAACACCAGTTATACGACCTATATTTACTATTAAAAAGAAAAATAAAATATTTTAATTACTACTATCAAAAAAAACAATTAAATAATTTACTTTGTAAAAATTAAAAACCAAATCTAATTCACAAACGTTTCCAAAAAATGCATCCAAAACTTCAACAAAGAAATGTATAGCTTCTAGATAAGCTATTTCATTATCATTAGCGTCCACGCATACACAAAAAAATAAACCAGCGTATCGACGATATACGATTTTATAATTACGAAACTATTTTTTTGGGTTAAGAAATTTTATTAATTAAAAATATTATTATTATTATTATTAAATAAACGATAATATATACCTCTACAAAATTTGATTGATGCTTCTGATCTCTCGGTGCAATGAGTCTATGAACTTCACCTTTTAATTTTACTTTTTCTTCGTCTTCGTATGGTACGTACCATTTTGAAAGTCGGGTTTTACCTTGACGATTTTGAACTAGAATGAATCGAATCTAGGGATAAAAGAAATATTTAATAATATATATATATATATAATGCTTTGACAGAAGGAAACGTAAAAACTAAGTGCAATATGTGCATTTTTTTTACCATTATTATTTTAGGGTGTGAAGATAGTAGGTAGTAAGTATGAAGGTCGGTGGTAAATTCTTCGAGTGGGTTTTAAGCCATTTTTTGTGCAATAGTAAATTTAATTTAAAGTGCAGGAAACACGTGTTTAAATAACTGTTTCAAACCCTTTTTAAACTGACAATGCCAATACGCAATCTATATAATATATATATATATAGTTATTAAAAAAAAACAAAATTTTCGGTATATTTGTGGAATTTGACCTTTATTTTAGTCTCCGTATTTAACAGAAGTTTTCGCACTTCAATAGATTTAGAATTAAATATTATATTTTCCTGAGTGTAATACACATGAATTCAATTTTTTGTAAAACTAAAAATGCACTGCGACTCTTTATAATATATATATAACTTATAACACACACTGTATACGTATTGTTAAAATCATTTTATTATTTAGATCATGTTAAGTGTACATTATAAAAATTACTAATACTCTTATAAACAATTGTAAATAACGGCAGAACTTCTAATTCGATAAAATGTAAAGTCTGACTAGGCCATTGAATTTTATTTGCTAATTCTTTAATGTAAGTATAATTAATTGGTTCTAGTGTGGTACTTCCTTCTTTGTTTTTAAGCTCCATAATACTGACAACCGAGATTTGCTTTGAGTAATTCTAGTATTCACTTCGGAATTATTGACCTTTTTACGTTTAGACTTTGGCTTATAATCATCCTTTATTTTCTGACAAGCACTTTCTCATCCCATTTCGTTTTCATCGAGTGCTTTTTTCTCGATCAAACAACTCAATTTTTCGACATGAAATATAATAATAGTCTATCGTTTTTAGTTCGGAGAAATAAATGACGTGTTGGAAAATTATCGATTATTAAATGAGGTCTTGTATAAAATGGATATGCTTCGGTGAAATAAAATAAATTACCTTATTATAGGTCATCAGGAAAATAGACCTTGGGATGCAGATGTTGTTAAATTGGCAGATGTTTTGGAAATGAATGCCGGATGTGGTATTTAGAAAAAATAGATTTCGAGAAGTTGCTGACTCGTATACCCCTCTATGATTGTACCCGGGGGCTGTTTGAGAGCTAAAATTTATCTTGTGCGTCGGTAACCTATGGGTAAAAAAAACTTCGAAGATCGGCAAAGCGAAATGAAAAAAATACCCCGGATACATCTCTTGTCAATGTAAATACCTGGATACATGAATCAGCAGTTTACGGTAACCCCTAAGAAAATTAAAGTTGTGCTTCTACAAAAACCCTCCGTGAATGGTTTCGAATTTGTTATCGTAAAGTTCTAATGACCTTATTGCAAGGGGGTATATTGCTACCGTTATCTGGGGAGATACCGTTATCTGAAGGGAGGCCGGTTCAGATAAAAATATATTTGATATCATCTTTGTGCTTTTCTTTATTAAAATCTGATATTAATAATTTTATTACTAAGAAAGATAGATTCATAATAATAAAAAAAAGAGGATAATTCGTTGTCAAATAAATATTTGAAAACGTGTAAATATCACACGTTAAATTGCGTGTTAAATCCTCAAATAAAGTCGGGATTTAGTATATGAAAAACCAGTTCCAAACTCTATCCTCAAATTTGGGCCAAATTAAGCTTTTTAATCTATGATACTAATAATATTAGTTTTCTTTTTTAGAATTCCGCGTAGCTGGTGATAAAATTGGCTTCTTTTGATAAACATTCAAAATAGAATTTGTACGTCGCTTCTTTTGAGTCACTTATTTTATCTGAAATCGGACGTCGAATCATTAATTCCGAACCCCCAGTGCTAGGGATATTATGGATATCGTAAAACTTTTTTCAAGTAAATTAAATTGGCGAATTATCGTTATTCTTTTATATTTAACTACTATATTCTTTTATATGAGGTCTTTTTGTACTATGCACGTGATTTTTACTCATAAAAGAACAGTAACAAATAGTATCATTCGAAAAGAAATCTATATAAAAATCCTTCGCGATGAAAGCTTATCTAAGAAATTTATGAGTGTTCAAGGTAGATCGGAAGATGTTATATTTATCGAATATTAAAAAAAAAAATAGTGATTTAAGTATGATGAAAATTGTTATCATATTAGACTAAATACAAAATAGTATGTGGAAGAACTGTAAAATATTAAATTATTGCCCTCAAAATATAAGCAGTTAGAAATAATTGCTGTAAAAACGCAAGCATTTTTTGAAGCATGATATAAAATCCAGTAAAGTAATCTGAAATAGGAATTGGAATCGGTTCGACTAATTAAATCGACTAAACATAAAATTTTTTAGTCGACTAAACCGATTCCAATCCTTAATCTGAAAAGACATCATTAAGCAAAGATTAAAAAGATCAATAAATTTCACCTAAATTGAAATTTAGTAAAAAGAATATCTAAGCCAACCATTACGGTTTTTTCTTAGCAACAAAAGCGCTCTTTAGTCCCTTGCTTGACGATCATTTAAGCTTACAATTTATTATTAACTTTTTTGTTTATATTAATTTATAGGGATGTTAAATGGTCCACGGGGAACTAGTTCGGACCGGGCCTGGACCGGGACTTTTTAGGGACTAGTAGGACTAGTTCAAATCTCACATGATATGAATAAAGTGTCCTTTTTGACACACTAAAAAATTTTAATAAATATGAAATCAAGAACGACATTCCTTAAATAGTGGTACTATAATAGTAATTCACGTGTTCTAATTTAAAATTCATTGATTGGGTGATCAATGAGGAGTACTTCCGATTGGAGAATTAAATTAGTTAAATACCGATGGCTTTTATTACAGCTTTCCGCTTTCAATCAATAATGGCCTGGTAATGGCCTAGTAATTATGACAGCATTGGTAAGTGCTGATGGCTTTTATTTAGTTTTCTTTCGCTTTTTGCTGTAATATTAGTAAGTCCCAATGGCTTTTATTACAGTTCTTTTTGTTTTTTGATCAATAATTTTACAGTATTAGTAAGTACTGATGCTTTAGTTTTTTTATTTTTTTTATTTTTCGATCAATAATTGGCATAATTACATCAGTTTTTAGATCAATGATAATAAATTCATGATGGCGATGAATATAAAAACATTTATTTAATCATTTCGTTTGAATTATTACATCAGGCTATAATGATATTAGTCTGAATTCCCTCATGACGATTGTTCTCTACCATGTACCCTTAATTTAATTTTTTTTTTATTACAAATATCTCAATAAGTTCATAAAACAATCGCATCAAACCCAAAGATCCTCTCTTTGTGTTGCCTGCACATGATGCGTATATTACTGATCTTGGGCTTTCAAAAAAAGTAAAAGATGGAAAAGTTTATGGAATTCTACCATATATAGCGCCTGAGGTTTTGATGGGTTAGCTGTAACAATTGCATCAAACTCAAAGATTCCTCTTTGTTTTGATAATTGTTTCATATTTTTTTTTTTTCTTTTTGTAAGTATAAAAAGTATTGCTTAAATGAAAATTTGTTTTCTCAAAATTTCATTAGTCACATCATGTCTTTCAATAAACGCTCACAAAATTTTACACCTACCTCTAATATACCTTCCTCTAATACACCTTGTCTTGACAACAATTTAGTTGTCTTGAGTAATGATTTTAGTGGTGTAATCAATGCCAAAGGATTGGAAGAACAATTCTTTAAGCGTGGTAAAAATGTACACCTATCTGGGGTTATTTTACACTATCTCGGGATAAAAAATTCATTATTTGTAGCCTGTGCCCTAAAACACAATATAGTATAACCACGGGCATTAGTACAATCAAACGGCATTTCGAAGCCAACCACAAATCTGAATACAACCAATTGCTCCAGGTATCACCTTCACGAGCTGTTGATCAATATGGCGTTCATGATAAAAAAAAGGTCAAAAAATTAAATGGGCTTCTGGTACGTTGGATAATTTGCAACCAACAGCCTTTTTGCGTTGTCGAAGATGAAGATCTTCAAATGTTTGTTTTTGAACTCAATCCCCGCTATAGGTTTCCCTGTAGACAAATGATCTTGGTTCATGTTTGGCAGCTATATGAAAGAGAACATAGGCAACTATGTAATTTTTTTAAAAGTTTTGGATACAAGGTGTCAATTACATGGTCCTCATGTACAAACCAAAGGATTTCTCGCAATCACCTTACACTGGATTGATGATGAATGGCAATTGCATCATATACTTTTGGACTTCGTCCCCCTCCACGAACGCCATACGGATATTTTTTTGGCCAATACGATTTTTAAAATAATCGAGGATTTTGGTTTAGGAAGAAAAATCTTGTCGATAACTACGAACAACGCAAGCAATATGGATGTCTGTGGTGAAAACCTTGCTAGTATGTTAAAATATAACTACGATAATACTGCTTTCTGCCAGTTACGTTGCGCCGCCTATATACTTAACCTCGCCGTCGTCAATGGTCTTTCTGTAATTGACGAATCAACCAAAAAAGCGCAAGATTTCGCAAGTTGTATTCGCCGCTCCCAACCCTGCCTAGAAGAGTTGAAAAAAATTTTTGCAATAAAAAGTCAACCGTTTTTGGTGCCTGAGACCGATTGCGAAACCAGGTGGAATTTGCTGTATCTAATGTTAAAAAAATTATGTAAAATAAAAGAAATGATAGATATATTAGTGGTTTCAATGCCACATCTTAAAAAACAATATATGAATGAACAAGATTGGGTTAATATTAATGTCATGATAACACTATTAGAACCCATTTTTGAAGCTACTAAACTACTTTCCTCCTCTACCCACCCGACAATTGGAGACATGCGCGCGGTTTTTTCTGTAATTATCGCACATCTTACCGAAGCTAAAAATAAAAAAAATCCAGTAAGTTCGCGTATATCTGAAAAAATGCTTGAAAAACTAGATAAGTACTGGGATGAATTACAATCCTCTCTTCCCGAGGCAGTATTGCTTGATCTGTCGTCTAAATTTTCAACTTATTGCTCTAGCTCTGAAATAAATAATGTTCGTCAAATAATTA